CCGGCCGAGGCGTTATCGCCTTCCAACGCCGGCTCCTGCCTCCACCGCCCGGCAATGCCAGCTGCCACCGAGCGCCTGCGCCGTCCGTCCCAACGCCCCTGGGTGAAGCTGTGTCACCTCGTCCCACTTCTCCCCAAATGTTGCTTTTGGGACGGGCGAAGGCGGTGGTGGAGCGTCCCGCCAGCCTTCCCCCAGCCTTCCTCCCTTCCTGGGAGCTTGCTGCAGCAGACGCCCGCTTCTCCGTGCTCCCACGGCGCTGGGCTGGATGCCCACCAGCACCAGTTACCCCCAAAGCTGTTACTGGCCTTGAGACAGCTCAGTCCCGGGCGATGCCTATGTAGATGCCCAAACCCCATGGTGGCCCAGCTCCGCTCTGAGCCACGAGCTGCAAAGCTCCCCAATGTTCTCATTTATTTTTTTTTTAGCAGACGCCCGCTTCTCCGTGCTCCCACGGCGCTGGGCTGGATGCCCACCAGCACCAGTTACCCCCAAAGCTGTTACTGGCCTTGAGACAGCTCAGTCCCGGGCGATGCCTATGTAGATGCCCAAACCCCATGGTGGCCCAGCTCCGCTCTGAGCCACGAGCTGCAAAGCTCCCCAATGTTCTCATTTATTTTTTTTTTAACGTGGCTTCTTCTCCCTGGCTGGAGGAGGCACGGGCAGGCTGGCCTGGTGCTGTGCCCAAGCTGGTACCCTGCCAGCAGCATCCACCGAGGACACTGGTGCCACTGGGAGACGTTGGCTGCGTGTGCCCCGAGCCTCCCGGGCCAGGTCGGATGCCGTGGAGGTGCAGCCCAGCTCTGATCCAGGCAGATGGCCCGGGGGTAAGTGGAGATAAGCCTGTATCGCCAGCTCGGGGGTTGCTGGTGCTTCCCAGGGCTCAGTGGCACCGGCCACTGGGTGCTCGGAGCATTTCTGGGGGAGAAAGGTGGGGAAAATGGTGCCGTGATGGCTGGGCTGCAGGTAGAGATGAGCCTCGCCCACAGTTTCACCCCTGCTTTTTTTGATTCTTCCTCTTCCGTGGGGATCTGAGCTGAGGTCCTGAGTGGAAAACGTGCCCGGTGTCGCTCTGCGGGCTGTGAACAAACTGGGAAACGTCCCTCGGAGCACAGGGATGGGTTTCAAGATGGGGACGGGAAAGAAAGGTGAGCAAGGAAAAGATCATCAACCTCTCTGCTGGGTGGGTTACTCTGATGGTTCCACCCCAAATATGAACAAAGGCGATGCCTGGGGCTACCTGGCTGCACTGGACCCCCTTGGACTTGGGATGCTCTTGCCTGCCGGTCACTTTGGGATCGTCTCTCTCACGATTGCTCCTGGCAGCGGGGACGGCTCCTTTAGGATCATCAGTCCCATTTCACAGATGAGGAAACTGAGGCACGGAGCCCTGTTAGCCAGGCGTAGACCCCAGCCATGACAGCAGAGGGGGCTACGCCACGTCGGAGCTGCCGCTGCCCTTCGGTCACAGACCGGGCTCGGCCGAATTGGCGTGCCGACGCAATGCACCCCGAGGAGTGGGAAAGCTGCTGTTGTCATTTATTTTTTTTTCCAGGATCAGTCCCTTTAACGGGCTCTTCTGCCTCCAGCCGTGGCTGCTGTTTGTGTTCTGGCCCCCGCGGGCTGGCAGCCTTTCCCCTGCCCGTAGGCAGCACCTGGCAGAGCAGCTAACAGAATCAGACAGAATCACACAGAATCCCAGCATCCCAGCATGGCCGGGGTTGGCAGGGCCCTCGGGAGCTCACCCAGTGCCACCCCCCTGCCCAAGCAGGCTCACCCAGAGCAGGGGGCACAGGACAGCGGCCAGGCGGGGGTTGAAGATCTCCAGAGAAGGAGACTCCACAGCCCCCCTGGGCAGCCTGGGCCAGGGCTCGGGCACCCTCAAAGTCAAGAAGTTCTTCCTCACGTTCAACTGGAACCTCTT